TTGGAGATGTTCCTCTCCACGAACCTCAGCCGGTCGGTGCCGTGAATGAAGTGACACTCGGACTAAACCATCTCCTGGAACAGCGCTGTGTGTGCAGGACACAGGTCCGGGGCTGTCCCCCCAGCAGCCCCCCAACAGCCCACAGTAGCCAAGAGCTCCGGGGCAACCCGGACTCTGTACATACAGTGCCCCACGGCCGCCATGGGGCCCTTCTTCCTGCAGTCCCAGTTCCTCTTTTCCACACTTCTCTGTATTTTCCTCCCCCTTTCCCAACACTCCCCAGTCACCAGCAGCCCCCAACATCTGTTTGGGGGTCCCACCTCCCCATTTCTCTTTCTCTCCCCACCGTTCCCACCATCCCACCACTTCCCTTCCCGCCCCTCCCGCTCACCCGAGAGCTCCGCGTCCCCAGCCCGGGGGGCTCCCAGTGGCACCAGTAGGGCCCCAGCTGCCGCCACACGCCTCATGGCCAGCACCGGGCAGGGTCTGACACCTCCCCCTTGTTGGAACTCTGGAAACGGAGGTGTTTGGGTTTTCTGTGCTGACAGGCATTGAACCCCAGGAAAACTCTGCTTTTTACCAGAGGTCGTGAAGAAGGCTTCCAAAATTGAGTGATAGAACTGGGATCACTGGTGTGTAGTTTGAATAGAAGTGTGTAATGTCCCATGGTGGAAAATTTAGAGCTTGGGGTTTTAGAATATAGTAATATATATATAAAGCAAGATAGAGATTTTAGGGCGGAGGTTTCTTTCTTCTTCACCTTCTTCATGGGTCTAGGTGGTACTTTTGTAATTGGATAGAAAATTCCACAGTGCAGGTCACAGTTGATTGGTTGTTGGGTTATCCCATTCCAGAGCCCCCTGATGTCCATGTGTCCGGAAAAGAGGAACACAGGACACTGATCTTGTCCTGCCACGCGTACGGATTCTACCCCAGCTCCATCGAAGTCAACTGGATGAAGGGGGATGAAATCTGGGATCAGGAGACGGAGTGGGGCGGGATCGTTCCCAACAGCGACGGCACCTTCCACACCTGGGCCAGGATCGAGGCGCGGCCGGAGGAGCGGAAGCAGTACCGGTGCCGGGTGGAGCATCCTGGAATGTCAGAGCCCGGGATCTACACTTGGGGTGAGGCTGGGAATGTGGAATGTGGAAATTGGGAATGCCCAAATGGGGAATTCCCTTCCCCTTCCTCACCATCCTTCATTTCCCAAAGCCGACTTCTGGCAGGAATGTCACCGTGGTGGTCGCTGTGTCCATTGCTGCCATCATCATCCTCATTGTCCTCATTGGATTCGTCGTCTGGAGGCGCCAATCTGGTAACACACGCGATGGAGGCTGGGATCCACCCAGCACCGTTCTGGGAATCCTGTGCCACCAACGCTGATCCCACTGTTTTTCCACAGGGAGGAGGGACAGGAAGGGATACAACATAGCAGCTGGTGAGTACCAGTGGTGGATCCAGTTCTGGATCCCTTCTTTGTGGATCCTAGGATGGATCCTGGGGTTAATCCTGGTGTGTGATCCGTGCTGGAATCTCATGGATCTTCTCTTTCTGCAGGTAAAAATGTGGGAACCAACAGCTTGAGTGCAGGTACAGAGCGGGATCAGGGTGAGATTCCAGAGAGGGATTGGGGCAGGATGGACAGATTGGGATCATGGAGGAATTCCGGATCAGAGCAGGATCAGATGGAATTGTGGAGTGGGATCAGGGCTGGATTCTGGAGCGGGATCAGGTGGGATGGATGGGGCAGGATTTGTGTGGGATGGATGGAAAAGGATTGGTTGGAATTCCAGAGAGGGTTTGGGGCAGGATGGGTGAGGCAGGAATACGTGGAATGGATGGAACAGGATTGGTGTGGGATGGATGAAGTGAGATCAGGAAGGTGTTCCAGAGCAGGATCAGTTGGATGGATGGAGCAAGTTTGAGGCAGGATCAGGTTAAATTCCAGAGCAGCTCCCGCTCTCCATGGGCTTGTGACAATTGATAAAAGATTTGTGTTAATCACAAAAGCATTGGGGTTTGCATAAACCAGAATACTAAGCTCTGAAGTGAAGCATGGACACTAGATAAAGGAAATTATATGATTAAATAATTCTGTTTAAAATCACCTTGTTATGTTATATTATGTTGTATTATGTTACATTACATTATGTTATATTATGTTATGTTTTTTAAATAAGTTGTATCGGCTACCAGCTTGCGAAATCGGACTTCCCAAAAAGCCCTTCCTACCTTTGTCTAATCAATGCTGCCTATCCCAAAAACCAGACTCCCAGAACTTCCCTGGTGGTCATCTACAAGGATCGGATGGCTATCTGTGACTAATTATCACCCAAAGGCTTTGTGGATTTGTGAACAACAAAAACCCACAGTATAAGAAGAGGCTGCAAACCAAGGTTCGGTGGAGCGTGGAGTGGGCGGTGACCCCTCACGTTCCCCAGCGCGCTGCTTGCTCTTTCTATATCAAATAAAGCAATCTAAAATTTTGCTGAATATCGAGACTTTTTTCTCTCATTTATAACAGGCTCCAGCCAGGTCCATCCTGCGGGATGGGGACAGGGACAGGGTGACACGGTGACCCTCTCTCATCCCGGCAGGATTCACTGCCTGAGTGATCCACAGAGCTGGATCCAGCCCCCTTCCTGTGGTAGTCGATTTGGCTGAGATGGACTGGGATTTAGCCCAAATTCCCTTTAAAGAAAGCACAAATTTAAGACCTTGGGAGGCAGGCTGTTAAAAAGCAAGGCCTTAGACATTAGGTCTGGCCCCTGCCCTGTAGATGCAGAGGCTTTAGCCTAAAACTATGGGATTTGTAAGGACATGTCAGGCATGCCCGGGCATGTCCCTAATTCTCATTTGTCTTTGGACCTTTGCCTCGGGTATCCCTGGGTATACCCCTCCCCCTGGTCTTTGGATGTAGCCTCTCAGATCACATGTTCACAAATGGATTAAAAGGATATCACAGGCACACCATCATTCCCATCCTGCTTATTATTATTATTATTATTATTATTAACCACGCTGTAACCCGGTCAGGCTGTTGAAGTTGTCACAAAGGGAAAAACCCCCATTGCATTACAACAGGCAGCCATATCAGATTCCACCTGTTCCATGTGATATTCACATGAAGGGGAAACTTGATTTACAGAGATATCTAATGGCTTTAGGTTCCACGTTCCAGAAGCTCCAGAATTACATCCTGCTATCCAGACCCATAGGACTGGACACACCTGCACATCCCTTCCAGCCTGGACACTGGGTCTATGTGAAG